AGATATGGATGTCTGCAAGCTGTAATCCTTAAAATTACAATAAAAATAATGGCATGTGCAGTGCCTTTCAATTTTACCAAGAGTGCTCATACGTATTATCACATGTAACCCTCATAGCTTTGTATGATACATGTGACAGATCAGACTTCCTAAGCATCTCCTTCATCCAGAAAATTTTTGTAATTATCCTGAGAGCATGTACCTCCAAGAATCTTAAACTTTTCCATTTTGTTACTTCAAGCTTTTATTTTCCATTTTTCTTTTATTTTCCCATCCCTGTCTAACACTGAATCTCCTCAGAACAAAGTACCCAATTTAGAATACAATAAGTGTGACAGTGGAGGCATAACTTGGGAGGGCATCCACTAGTCCATCCATGAACCTAAAAGATGACCTATGTCCATTGTACATAAGTGAGATGATCCAGAGGAAATGATGGAATGGTCTGTTAAAGGCTCAGCTAAGAAGCCGCTCAGGGGCAACATTAGTGGCTAGAATGCTATTCTTCAGAAGCAGTAATATTTATTAAACCAATGGCTGACATGTGGATACTTTTAGCATCCTAGCTAATATACACAAGTGTAGAAACTAGGAAATGGGTGTTGAATAGACTCTTCTATAACCCATTCCAGAATTTATTGTTCTCTTTCCCTCAACATTAAGTTCTGTTTGATTAGAGGTCTAGTTCCCAGAGGAAGAATGTTTCCACTAGAGGATTCCTAAATAAATTATCTTAACATGAGTCCTTGCTTCAGGGTTTATTTTGGGGGAAAAACAATAGAATACTATTCATCTGTAAAAAAAGGGGGAAATCTTCCCTTTTGTGATAGCATGGATGGATCTGGAGAATATTATGCTAAGTAAAATAAGACAGTCAGAGAAATATACAAATAGCATATGATTTCACTTATATATGCAATCTAATGAACAAAATAAACAAATAAACTAGAAACAGATTCATAGATATGGAAAACAAACTGACATCTGTTAGAGAAGAGAAGATTTGGGGAAGCTGGGTGAAAAACGAAAGAAAGAAAGAAAGAAAGAAAGAAAGAAAGAAAGAAAGAAAGAAAGAAAGAAAGAAAGAAGAAAGAAAGAAAGAAAGAAAGGAAGGAAGGAAGGAAGGAAGGAAGGAAGGAAGGAAGGAAGGAAGGAAGGAAGAAAGAAAGGAAGAAAGAAAGGAAGGGAATAACCCATAGACACAGACAATAGTATGGTGATTACCAGAGAGAAAAGGGGTGGGATGAGGTAGAAGAGGGAAAAGGAGGGATAAGACGTGATGGAATAAGTCTTGACTTGGAGTGGTGAACACCAAATACAATATATGGATGTTGTAGTATAGAATTGTACTCCTGAAACCTATATAATTTTATTAACCAATGTCACCACATAAGTTCATAAAAATTTGTAACAAATAAATAAACAATCAAGGTCTCTTCATTGCATGGAAATATGAATCAGAAACTCATATCAACAGATGACTTTCTGAACAGATTTCTAGATTGAACCAAGTTTTTTCTGTGTAGAGGAGTCAATTATAGAAATTTCCCCTGAAGAGGGCACTGCTTGTATTAGTTGACAGGAGCTGCAAAGGATCCTCAGGTTCAAGAAGAGAGCTCTGATATGCACCCCTATGTTCATAGCAGTGCAATTTACAATAGCTAAGACTTGGAAGCAGCACAAGTGCCCATCAGCAAATGAGTGGATTAAAAATAAGTTATTGTACATTTACACAATGGAATACTATGTGGAGGTAAAAAAGAAGAAACTCTTACCATTTACACCAGCATGGATGGACCTGGAGAGTGTTATGCTAAGCAAAATAAGCCAGTCAGAGAAAGATAAATATCACATGATCTCACTCATATGTGGAATCTAATGAACAAAATAAACTGATGAACAAAATAGATCCAGAGACACAGAACCATGGAACAGACTGATGAATGTCAAAAGGAAGGCGGGGCGGGGGGTGGGTGGTGGTGAGGGGAGGGGAGGAGGAGTGGTAGGGAAGAGTTTAAGCAGGAAACTTTTATACGTATATGTATAGTCCATGAACACAGATAATAGAGTGGTGAAGGCTTGGGACGAACAGGTGTGGGGAGAAGGGGGTCATTGGGAAAAACAACAACTAAAAAACAAAGGGGACATCTATAATACTTTCAACAATAAAGATAAATTTTAAAAAGAAAGAAGACAGCCCTGGTTGGGGGCGGGGGTGGGGGGTGGAGTGAATTGTGAATGTTGGGAGGGGAGGGATTGAGCAAAAAAGAGAAAGAACTGGGCATGGCCAATAGTGTGGTGATTGTAGGTCAGTAGGGAAGGTGGAAGACATCATAGAGGGAATAAATAAAATAAATTGTAATTTAACTTAATTTATTTTATCTTTTTAAAGAAACTGCTAATATATACAAAAGAACTGGAATAGTTCTGAAGAATCTAGGTCAGATTTCCAGACTCCGGAATCAAATCCTTTGTGGGTGTGGGAAGGCCAAGGCACAGAGGAACTTCTGGGAGCCAACATTTCTGATCTGGTAGCCAGATGTGTGATAGTAGAATTTATGTCATCAGGACTGAGAAGAGTCTGAGAACTAGTCTCCAGCTTTTTAGAACAGACTCAAAGGACAAATAAAAATTTTAATCCACCCTTTAAAAGTATCTTTTACAGAAAATGAACCATCAAATGAAGAAAGAGGAAAATCCTTCCTAACTGGCCATCCAAGAAGGAAATACTTTCATTATCAAGTATACTTATCTGAACAGTTTTTCAGGTCCATGGGTACAGGATAAAAAGGATGTGCCCAACTAAGAGGGAACTTCTTGACATCTGAAACAGCTTCCTCCATTGTGACTTTAATTGTTGATGTGCCTTAGTGTTTGCTTCTGTAGAAGTTCTCCCTTGAGAATATGAGAGTAGCCATATGGTGCTCACATATTTTCTTCTGGATTTTACTTTTTCTAGTCTAACCAGCTTACTTCTATGAGAAATCCTATGACAGTAGTTGCCAGATATTGTTGATATTTCAAATGAGCACATTGGAATTTATCAGACCGCCCAGATGAGGTACTGCTTCCCACCCACCCACCCCCCACCTTGTCTTCTCTCTTTCTTCACCCTTATTTTCTGCTTAGTATCTTGTAATCATACTTTGCTCACAACCTTCTACAGATTCTAAATGCCCCAACCCAAGAAACCATTTTTACTTAAAACAATCAAAACAAACAAATAAACACACACTCTCTCTCTCACACACACACACAAAACCACTATAATCTGGACATAATATTTATTATTTTTAAAAGAAAAGACAGTTTTCTACATACCCTCATGTTTGCCTACTTGAGAGTTTTTTCATATACAGCGTGTCCCCCCAAAAATGTATACACACTTCAACAGCTAAAGCTCAATTTTGAAAGTGAAATGTATTTAAGTAAACACTGCTTTTATAATTATTCAAAGTTTGTGTATACATTTTGGGGACACCCTATTGATAATATTATTTGATTCTCAGAATTCAGCAGCCTTATTAACTATCAGTGGGAACTAGGGATTATTTGGATGATAGTTATAAGATACTAAAGTTTGATTGGCTGGGCCTAGAAGGTCAGGAAATGATCTGAAACAGCAGGATGGACCCTCTGGCTTGGACTCCCCAACTCCATTACTGGCACAGTGTATGCAGGCCAGAGGGAGGAAATGTGTACTCCCGAGAGCCTCATTTGTGAACTTACAGCTGGACTGAAATGGAAAGAAAAGACAGGTGGGTCATCTGGAGTTACCTATAAAGACTGAAGAAGAGAGGGGGGAAATGATAAAGTAACAACGTTTTTACCAATGTCATGTGAAAATTAATGCAAATGAAACTAGTAGTGTTTTGCATTGTGAGTTTCCATTTTTGTGCAATTGCCTCTTCTACAAAATGAGGACCATAATTTCTGACCTTTCTTCTCTCACAGGAGAATGTGTGCATGAGGGAAAATTAGATGCCAATGAATCTCTGTTAGATGTGCAACACAGAATGTTCTCAAATAAATTGTAAATGAATTGTGCTGGCTCTTCAATCACAAGCCATGAAGAAATGTGCAACAAAGCTCTTACACTTACAGGAACATTTGCCACTGGTGTTGTAGAGTCATAGAGCTCCCTGACACCGCCAAAGCCAAGTATTCTTTAAAAAAATAAAGAAGAGGAAGAAGAAGAAGAAGAAGAAGAAGAAGAAGAAGAAGAAGAAGAAGAAGAAGAAGAAGAAGAAGAAGAAAAAGGTCTTCAAATAAATAACAGAGGAATTAAATATCAAAATTCTGGTTCTGATTTTCAACTGAGGTTTGCTATTTTCTTTATCATTATACTAGAGGCCCTATGCATGAATTCGTGCATGTGTGGGATCCCACCGGCCCACCCCAATTGGGCTGCAAGAAGTTGGCTGGCCAACTCCACGCCCTGGTTGACCTCCTGTTGAGGGAGCAATCTGCATATTAACATTTTATTATATAGCATTGAAGTTTTGAGAAATGATTAAAATAAAAATTGGCCAAAGGATAATAGTATAATCAAAACCTGTTTTATGAGAATGCAGAGAGCATTATGATATTGGCTTTACTACAAAAGGGAGGGAGGGAGGGAGGGAAGGGAGGCAGGAACAGGAGAAAGAGACAGAGATGAAATTAAAAGAAAGCTTACAGAGAAAACTGAAGTCATTACATTAGTTTCACCTATACCATTTTTCCCACCTATACCATTCTCCTCTCCAAGATCACGTCTTTACATGAACTATTTATGAAATTAGAGATTTAACATCTTTTTTCCTTTGGAGTTACAGCCAAACTTTTATTCTCTGAAGCAAAGACAAAAGGCATTGATAACTGTTTTTAAAGCAAGGCATAATCAACCACCCATCTCACCTACCATTTCCTGTTCTGACAGTGATGTCACCGAGTACAGCTGGTACTCAAGTTTCCGATCAGAACAAGAGCCTTTCACCCTGTAGAAGAGAGCTGCCAGCATGGCTTGCCGGGGCATGCTGTGGGCATTCGTGGTCTCCACCTGCCTTGGTAAGGAACACATATTTGCTATTCAAGTACCCAGTAGGATTGGAAAGTAGGAAAAAAGATTAAAAACACAGGGATCGTACCTCCTCATTGATACCAGCTATTGGAAGCAAAAGAGATGATGGATTTAACCTGAAGTTTAGATTAAGAGCAATGGTTCTCAACCTTCTGGCTCTATAAATACAGTTCCTCATGTTGTGACACAACCATAAAATTATTTTCGTTGCTACTTCATAACTGTAATGTGGATACTGTTATGAATTGTAATGTAAATATCTGATATGCAGGATGGTCTTAGGCAACCCCTGTGAAAGGGTCTTTCGACTGCCAAAAGGGTCGCGACCTCCAGGTTGAGAATGGCTGATTAAGAGGAGAGGTGGGTGGGGATGGGAACCAGCTGTGAGTCTGCCTGCTTTATCACACCGGTGTCATTCCCAGTGCAGTCCTTTCTGTGCTCTTTCCCACAGGATCCAGTGTGGCTCAGAAGGTCACTCAGCCTCAACCAGAAATGTCTGTGCAGGAGGCAGAGACTGCGACCCTGGCCTGCACATATGACACTAGTCGGAGTGATTATTATTTGTTCTGGTACAAACAACCTCCCAGCGGGGAAATGATTTTCATTATCCGCCAAGAAGCTTTTAAGCAACAAAATGCAACGGATAATCGCTTCTCTGTGAACTACCAGAAAGCAACCAAAAACTTCAGCCTCAGGATCTCAGACTGCCAGCTGGAGGATGCTGCAGTATATTTCTGTGCTCTCAGTGAGGCACAGTGAGATGAGTGACAGGGAGAGGCTTACAGAAACCTCTGACCTCAGTGCCTGTGTCAAGGAGTGGGGGAGTATTTGCTTAAAGGGAACATAGAAGTCATTGTCTTTTTTTGGTGATTAAAACTCCTTATATCTGAATATCAGAAACATAGAGAGATGGATGTCTGCAAGCTGTAATCCTTAAAATTACAATAAAAATAATGGCACGTGTAGTGCCCTCCAATTTTACCAAGAGTTCTCATGCATATTATCATGTGTAACCCTCATACCTTTGTATGATATATGTGACAGATCAGACTTCCTAAGCATTTCCTTCATTCAGAAAATTTTTGTAATTATCCTAAGCATTTCCTTCATTCAGAAAATTTTTGTAATTACCTCCAAGAATCTTAAACTTTTCTATTTTGTTACATCAAGCTTTTTTAAAATTTATTTTCAATTTTCTTTTATTTTCCCATCCCTGTCTAACACTGAATCTCCTCAGAACAAAGTACCCAATTTAGAATACAATAAGTGTGACAGTGGAGGCATAACTTGGGAGGGCATCCACTAGTCCATCCATGAACCTGAAAGATGAACTATGTCCATTGTACATAGGTGAGATGATCCAGAGGAAATGATGGAATGGTCTGTTAAAGGCTCAGCTAAGAAGCCACTCAGGCGCAACATTAGTGGCTAGAATGCTATTCTACAGAAGCAGTAATATTTATTAAACCAATGGCTGACATGTGGATACTTTTAGCATCCTAGCTAATATACACAAGTGTAGAAACTAGGAAATGGGTGTGGAATAGACTCTTCTCACGTCTCTTCTATAACCCATTCCAGAAATTATTGTTCTCTTTCCCTCAACATTAGGTTCTGTTGGATTAGAGGTCTAGTTCGCAGAGGAAGAATGTTTCCACCAGAGGATTCAGCAAGGGTCCCACCGAAACTAGTTATGACCATCATCTAGGTCCCTTTGAACTCCTTGTGCCAATGGTCCAGCAGACAAGGAAATGGGTTATTAGACTTGGGGAGGGGGTAGTGTTATTGACCCTGATTGTCATGAAGTACCAGGTTGTTGTTGCACAATAAGGGTAAGGAGGAATACATCTGGAATTTCAGTGTTTCATATTGGGCATTTCCACGTCCAATAAAAACAACATGTGGCGATTATTGATACAAGGCCTAAAAATGCGCAAAGTGATTCAGAACCCCACCAGGCAAGCAACATAGGGAGAAGATGACTATCAATTACAGCCTTGCTACCTGTTAAGGAAGTGGGGCCCAAAGCTCATGTCAAAGGTTCCGCTAAGAAATCGCTCAGGGCAACACTCTTAAGGGATTAAAATTCCATTCTCCAGAAGCAGTAATTAAATGTTCAAACTGAGTCTTCAAGGTTGTGGCTGGCTACAACTTATTTAAAACCATCCTGTCTTAAGTATTTTAAATAAATTGCACCCAGCCAAAACCTTGAAAACTCAGTAATGCAGTGACAAGCATGCATCTCAGTAGTGCAAAGAGCATGTGTGTCTTGATGCCACATTCAAATGTCTAGCTCTGATTTTATTAATAGCTGTGGTAGACAATTCTGTGGTTACTCAGACTCATTCAAACTGGTAACATCCAACATTAAGTATGCACTGTACAATTTTTACTTTCTGCCCCTAGGGCCTTCTCTGACTCTTCAAGAGCTCACTCAGCCCATGGGCAAGCACAGCCTGAAAGGACAGGGGAATTACCAGCCCTCCTGGCAAGCACCAACCAGTGATGAAACAGGACCAATACAAATAGCATATGATTTCACTTATATATGCAATCTAATGAATAAAATAAACAAACAAACTAGAAACAGATTCATTATTAAAGAAAACTGACTGCTGTTAGAGAAGAGAACATTTGGGGGAGCTGGGTGAAAAACATGAAGGGATTAAGCAAAAAAGGAAAGAAAAAAAAGAATAACTCATAGACACAAACAACAATATGGTGATTACCAGAGAGAAAAAGGGTGGGATGAGGTAGAAGAGGGAAAAGGAGGGATAAGAGGTGATGGAATAAGACTTGACTTGGAGTGGTGAACACAAAATGCAATATACGGATATTGTCCTATAGAATTGTACTCCTGAAACCTATATAATTTTATTAACCAATGTCACCACAATAAATTCATAAAAATTTGTAACTAATAAATAAATAAATAAATAAATAAATAAATAAATAAATAAATAATCAAGGTCTCTTCGTTGATTAGAAATAGGAATCAGAAACTCATATAAACAGATAACTTTCTGAACAGATTTCTAGATTAAACCAAGTTTTTTCTGTATAGAGTCAATTATGGAAATGTCCCCAGTAATTACTTATTTGGCCTGAAGAGGGCACTGCTTGTATTAGTTGACAGGAGCTGCAAAGGATCCTCAGGTTCAAGAAGTGAAATAAGCCAGTCAATGAAAGAAAAATACCACATGATCCCACTCATTTATGGACTATTAAGACCATTATAAACTGATGAACCAAAGTAGATACAGAGGCAGAGCAACATCGAACAGACTATCAAACTACAGCAGGAAGTCCAGGGAGGGTTGGCGGCCAGGAGTAGAGCTGGCGGGGGAGGGTGTAAGAGATCAACCCAAGGACTTGTGTGCAGGCATATGAGTATAAACAATGGACACAAGACACTGGGGTGTTGGGGAAGCCAGGGGAAGGTCAAAGGGAGAAAAAAAAGGAGACATATGTAATACTTTAAGCAATAATAATTAAAAAAAAAAAGAAGACAGTTCTGATATGCACCCCTATGTTCATAGCAGTGCAATTTACAATAGCTAAGACTTGGAAGCAGCACAAGTGCCCATCAGCAAATGAGTGGATTAAAAATAAGCTATTGTACACTTATACAATGGAATACTATGTGGAGGTAAAAAAGAAGAAACTCTTACCATTTACACCAGCATGGATGGACCTGGAGAGTGTTATGCTAAGCAAAATAAGCCAGTCAGAGAAAGATAAATATCACATGATCTCACTCATATGTGGAATCTAATGAACAAAATAAACTGATGAACAAAATAGATCCAGAGACATAGAACCATGGAACAGACTGATGAATGTCAACAGGAAGGGGGACAGGAGGAGTGGAAGGGGTTGGAAGGGAAGAGTTTAGGCAGGGAACTTATATGCATATGTGCATAGTCCATGGGCACAGACAATAGAGTGGTGAAGGCTTGTGATGGACAGGTGTGGGGAGAAGGGGGTCAATGGGAAAAATAAAAACTAAAAAACAAAGGGGACATCCATAATACTTTCAACAATAAAGATAAATTTTAAAAAAGAGGAAGACAACCCTGGTTTTTTGGGGGGGTGGGGGGCGGTGTTGGAGTGAGGTGGGACTGTTGGGAGGGGAGGGATTGAGCAAAAAAGAGAAAGAACTGGGCATGGCCAATAGTGTGGTGATTGTGGGGGCAGTAGGGCAGGTGGAAGACATCATAGAGGGAATAAATGGGAATGGAAAAAATAAAATAAATTTTAATTTAACTAAATTTATTTTATCTTTTCAAAGAAACTGCTAATACATACAAGAGAACTGGAACAGTTCTGAAGAATCTAGGTCAGATTTCCAGACTCCGGAATCAAATCCTTCGTGGGTGTGGGAAGGCCAAGGCACAGAGGAACTTCTGGGAGCCAACATTTCTGATCTGGTAGCCAGATGTGTGATAGTAGAATTTAAGTCATCAGGACTGAGAAGAGTCTGAGAACTAGTCTCTATTTTTTAGAACAGACTCAAAGGACAAATAAAAATTTTAATCCACACTTTAACAGTATCTTTTAAAGAAAATGAACCATCAAATGAAGAAAGAGGAAAAACCTTCCTAACTGGCCATCCAAGAAGGAAATACTTTCATTATCAAGTATACTTATCTGAACAGTGTTTCAGGTCCATGGGTACTGGATGAAAAGGATGTAGAATAAATCTGGTGCTTTCGTTTCCCTTTTCATTAAATAGGATGTGAAGTACAAGGGACAATAGCATCCTTCCACATTAGTCCCAGCTCCTCCACTCCCTGCACATTAAGCCTGCCCAGGCAAGAGACTCAGCCACCTACCAAAGGAAACCCATGTTCCCCAGAGAGCACCCAAATTCACTGGGCCCCACTCTATGCATGAGATCCCCACTCAGGAGTTAGTAAACAATGTCTACCACCTCTGACAAAAAAAAAATTGTACATGAATATAATGAATATAAATAAAACCTTTAAAAAAAGACTTTAGTGGTCTTTTTGTTCACTGTATTTTCAGAAAAGAACTCAGTCATAAGAACACTACACATGAGATGTCTGGGGTGATTAGGACTGGAACCCTCAGTGTTCTTTAGTCAAGATCTACCCAACTAAGAGGGAACTTCTTGACATCTGAAACAGCTTCCTCCATTTGTGACTTTAATTGTTGATGTGCCTTAGTTTTCCACTCTGTAAAAGTTCTCCCTTGAGAATTTGAGAGTAGACATGTGATGCTCACATATTTTTCTTACTTCTATGAGAAATCCTATGACAGTAGTTGCCAGATATTGTTGATATTTCAAATGAGCACATTGGAATTTATCAGACTGCCCAGATGAGGTACTGCTTCCCACCCACCCCTCCCCACCTTGTCTTCTCTCTTTCTTCACCCTTATTTTCTGCTTAGTATCTTGTAATCAGACTTTGCTCACAACTTTCTACAGACTTTCTAAATGGCCCAACCCAAGAAACCACTTTTATTTAAAACAAACAAGACAATCAAATAAGATACACACACACACACACACACACACACACACACACACACGAAAAAAAACTATCATCTGGACATAATATTTATTATTTTTTAAAGGAAAAGACAGTTTTCTACCCACCCTCATGTTTGCCTACTTGAGAGTTCTTTCATATACATACTTCAACAGCTAAAGCTCAATTTTGAAAGTGAAATGTATAGTAAACATTGCTTTTATAATTATTCAAAGTATGTTTATACATT